CCCTTGATAATTTATAAATTATTATTATTTTGTCCTATCTTACACTGTCCGACGTCTCCCTTCACCCACTTTTCTGTTGTCTATCCCCAGGGAGGAAGTTATATGTAGATCCTTGTAATCAGTCCCCCCTTTCCACGCTACCTTCCCTCCACCCTCCAGGTATCGCCACTCTTAGCACTGGTCCTGAAGGGATCATCTGTCGGCCAAATCTTCTTTTGCAAACCACTGGGACTATCAGATCAATAAGCTATGGTACTTGTCAAGGTCGGCTAGTGTGTGAGGAGTCAGGACTTGAACTCAGACCTTCTGATTCCAGTACTGTGCTACTTAATATAACTTTTGATATTCCTCTGTAAACAAGACCTCCTGAGCTGAAAATATTTGTTTTTTATTTGTGACAAAGTCCCTCTATTGATTTCTGTCAGAACCTTATTTGGGTAAGGTCTGTAAAACTCCATAGACACTTTTATCATGCAATTATTTTGTATTCTATTTCAAATGCCCATATGGTAAACATCTCTAGAAAAATCTTCAGCTCCCACCTGGTGGCCCATTGGTTCTGTATGATATACATTTGCAGAGCTGGGTCTGAGGTGGGGTCAGAAGGGGAGGAAGGAATTCAACTGTTTCCCAACGAGAACACATAAGGCCATGACTGACAACCCCCCTTCCTTCCACTCCCACACCACTCTGGCCAGTTGGTTGTCAGTAGAACATAAAAGTGCATTTACAGCATGAAAGGGTGTGATGCCAAATCCCGAGGGAGGAACTCTCACTTAAGGGCTAATTTCTGCATTTCAAAGTGACTGGCATGTTTTGTCCTGACCTTTCCTTAATGTTTTTTGTCTTTTTGTTGTTGTTTTTTTTTGGTCAGGTAAACATCAGAGAGCAAATGGGCAGCCAAACACTTGGCAAGAAATTATTAGAAATCCATCATTTATAAAACAAGCAAGGTGCACTCGAGGATAAAAGACTCACTGCCATGGAGGCAATACCAACTCATAGTGACCCTATAGGACAGGGTAGAACTGCCCCCTCTGGGTTCCCGAGATTAGAACTGTTTACAAGAGTAGAAAGTTCCATCTTTCTCCCATGGAGCTGGCTGGTGGTTTCTAACTGCTGACCTTGTGGGTCACAGCCCAATGCCTAACCACACCAGGGCTCAAGGATAAGGAGATGCAAACTCAAATTATTTCCATCATGGTAATGTTCATGGGCCCAATCCATCTGATGTAAGAGCAGAGAGAATTGTGAGGCATACCCTCACAGTAGTCACATATGCTTAACACACTGTATGGTCTAAATGAGGGCAGTGGTAGAAACCTCATATTCCACAGGAGAGACCCAGGTTCAAGTCCTGGCCAATAACCTGAGACATAGCCACCACCCATTTGTCAGTGGAAGCTTGTGTATTGGTAGTGATGAACAAGGCTTAGCGGAGCTTCCAGAATAAGATGGACTAGAAAGAAAGGCCTACCTATCTCTTCTTCAAAATCAGCCAGTAAAAACTAAGAGACCACAGTGATCTAAATCCATTGTGCACAAGCACTCCATAAGTGAGTGACCAACTCCTAACAACCAACAGCAACAGCATGACCTAAATAAAATATATTAGTAACTTAATGTACTCTACGGTCCATGAGCTTTCAATCCATGCTACACTGCAACCAACTGAACTGAAATACAGTCAAGCATCACTTAATGTCCACTTTCTGTGAAACAGGACATTATGTTATTTGGACATTGTTTGAACACCTTATTAAAACTTCATGGGGAAAAAATAATAATTTATAAAGTATAAAGGGTTCATGAGGG